TGTACATATGAACACAATATGAACAGTTTGTGAACAATAGTTCATTCATTATGAACACATTAAGAAGCAAGCCAATGTTGAAATATGCAGCTAGTGTACATATGAACACAATATGAACACTTGTGAACAATTCTTTAACAATTACATATGAATTCGAATTCCGATTGTAGTCGTAGACGATTTTAACCTTTTCATTATCATAGTTATCGATCTGTTTTCCAATAGGTTTATCCATATTACTCGGACGATATCGAAATCTTTACAATCGAAAATTCTTTAACAATTACAAAATCAATATCATTATGGATAGAATAAATCGAAACAAAACATGAATACGTATAAAAAAGTATCAATATTGCAAAATCATCAATTATTGAGATTTTTAGATTTGTAACTCCCAATTAATGATTTGGGAGTTACATAAATGACAAATTACTTAATTACATTATAAAGTGTGGTTCAAACGAGAACAATAATCAAATAAAAGAATACGAAAATGGTCAAATCATATAACCAAAGTCACGCAAATCATGTGATTTTACACATGATTTTAGTGTAAAATTATGCGATTCGAGTGTTCAAGATAAGAAGCAAAGTTCTTGTATAATAAGTTGAGTTCTTGTTAATAAGCTGTAATCGACACAAACCCATGTCAAATACCTTAATTAGTGAATGCTCATATATTTACATAGGGTCAGGTTCAAACGAGAAGTTTAATATTTTATCATAAAGTGAGAAGTTTCAATATTACATATGATTATATACTAGTTGTGTACTCGCGCAATGCAGCAGGAGCCATGAATTTTAACGATTTTGAAGTTCCACTGGTTTTATAATATAAGATTTAACGATGATATATGTTACACTTGGTCTTTACATATTAATACAATTTGAATAAATAAGAGTTATGGTTCTAATTACAGACTATCGATGAAAAAAATTGTATGACAGTTTAAAATCCGATATATTTAAAATCCAACATATTTAAATGACTCCACAAATGTGTTCGATTTACGCCAAGAGCAAAGAACCAAGAAACTTGAGTTTTAAGATAACACTCAAAACCAATAAAGAAAACTACAAATTTAACAGATCATAAGCTATGAAAAGACAAAAAAAATGGGTTTTAGAATGAAATTTCAACTGTTTACCCTCTTTCTTGTCCAGAAACTCAGATTAAGGTTATATTAATACATGTATATATATATATATATTTCAAAAAAACCCAAGAACATATTAATTCAGAACATATTATGCAGTGCAATTTGGACAGCCTAACCCCAAAAGATATAGTATATATATAAATAAATAACTATAAAAGTATAAATCGTAAATATTAAAAATATTTTTTCACAGTATATATAATATATAATAATATAATTAAGTCAAAAACTATTCAAGATTTGACTCATTTCGAAGGTATTACCGCATTTGAACCTCCGTGGCCACAAGGAAATTTTTGTTTCTTCTTGGATTTGAACCTGAGACCTCCAAACACTTTTGACATTTAAAGTCAAACTCAAACCAATCAGGCAGCACCCTTATAGTTAAAAAATAATAACATTAATTGCATTATGTACGGGAAATGCAAATATTTAATCTCTATTAAATACACATTTTTAACGTTGATTCAGTCATTTGTTCCGTAAAAGATGAAGCGCTTACCTTGGTCATGAACGAAAACGTACTCAACCGCTTCAAAAAGATGAAGTCTCGTAGAAACAGCAAAAAGCAGTAGCTTATATCTCATTTTTTTAGTTACACTTTTATTTTAGTATATATTAATATGGAAATTATTTTGTGACACCATACCCAAAAATTCTTGAATCCGCCTCTGATTACACACATGATACACAAGCTTAATCATATATGATTAAACACATGAAACTTCTCGAATTCTCGTAAAAACGTGTAACTTCTCGCACAATCCTTCGTCTATTTGGATATTTACATATTTATGATTTTAACAATTATATTAAAGTACCACCAATCACATGGCTATTGTCATGGCTTAACAATCATGGGACCTTGTACTTTGGAAGTACTAAATGGCCTTAAAAATTCCCGACAATGGAACAAACATCTTTGAAAATATCTTAACTAATACAGACATGTTCTACACTATAAATAAGCCAAAATCCAAATCAAGTACAATAACAGAAACCCTTTCTCATGTAAAAAAATGGCTATTTGGTCAATGGCTATGAGTCGTTGAATCAAATAGAAATAAAAGCAATGCCGGTTTGATGATTGAATGGTTGGTACCTTCTTCCTTTACGTGGTCACGAGAAGATACACGAGACCCTTCAGATACTCCACTATTTCTGATCCACCAAGCTTCGAACTTCCATAAACTCTGTCTACAAAAGTGATCGGAACCTAAAACACCCATACAAACCCGCACATCAGAAAACGAACAGCTCTTGTATACACCCAAAGTTCCAAAATTATTGCATTTTTTAAATAACAAAATGACTATTTTACCCTTACTAATAGAGGGAGTAATGAATTTCTCTCTCTCATAATCAAGGGTAAAATCGGATTACTTTGGAAAGTGGAAAAAGTTATGGTATCCTTGTAGTACCTCTTCGATATGGTATCCTTTTCTTGATGCTCGGACAATCATCTCCATCTGGAAAACGTATCCCTTGCTCACACAAGAGCTTATGATGTCCTCAAGCACGGATTTCTTGTAAAGACTATTATCATACGAGAAAATAAATAATATTAAACTTTAAGAATTTAAGGTGAAGAAAAAGAAACATTTTATATTGTTAAGATTATGTACCGAAACGAGCCTGTCAAGTCTGATACACCAGGCCAAAGAAGCGTATGTGCAAGGACATTCGCCCCTCGACTTGTCAATTTGCGCATCAAAGTCCAACCATGCACGCCCCCACCTCTTACATACCGAGTTCCAGTAACAATACTGGCACCTGTCTCCATCTGTTTCCTGAATTAAAGAAACTTCTATTATTAGGCAGTAGAAACAATATGAATTACTCGTCCAAAAATAAGTGTCCACATTTATATTTTCTTGTTTGTCCACATTTATAGCTTATTTGATAAGCTATACATAATTGTTTAATAGTGGCCTAATGATATAGAAAGAGTTATTCAATAGTTTCCTAGGGGGGGCCTTCCATCTATGAAAAAACCTTCCCAACCTATCTAGACAGATTAATCCACACAGACAACTTTATTCATTAAGGACTTAACAGGAAACCAACCAAACAGCCCCTTTTGTCCCAAAAGAAGTGTTCATTTTCAAAAGCAAGGGCATACTTTCCAATTCTACCCTTAATCACCAAATGGAGAAATTTATCTCTCTCTATTATCAAAGGTAAAATTGTCATTTACTTGATTAGAAAGTTTAATAATTACACATTTCTAAAACTGTGTCTTTTTCGTTAAGGACATTTATTTCGAGACGGAAGAATTACAAGATTGAGTGGAAACGTTCTTACTTAATAAAGTGTGGAAGGTACTTTGGCTGCGTAGACATACATGCATAAGAAAGAAACAGAGAAACGGTATAATTAGTTGGCAGAAAGCAGAATCTACTGATGCATAGAACTAAAGAAAATCTGGTTCCTAAAGAAAATCTTGCAGAATATGATTTTGACTAAAATCCCACTACAGTTATCTGATCTCTGAAGAAAATCTTGCAAACATACTTACATGGTGTGATAGATCGGCATCCATGATTATGACAAAATTTCCTGAAGCATGCTTCAGACCATGAATGTAAGCAGTCCCTGGTTACCAAGAATATCAGCTTGATTCATGATTGTGATCTAAAATTTGCCTTAGACAGATAAGGAGATACCTAATCCAAGCTTCCTAGTCCTAGCTCTTAATAGCTGCATTACAAAGATAACAATATGAATGAACTATAAACACATCCCAGACAACAGCAATGCACTATGAGAGAGAAATTATTGCACATACAATGCGATCGTCACCATACACTTGCTGCAACTGTTTGACAATATCTTGAGTTCCATCAGGACTACCATCATCCACAATTATTATTTCAAAGTCAACATCCCTGACAAGAAAACATAACATCATGAACTCGAAGGCAACCATAAAGCTGGGATAGATTTATAAGTCCTTCTACATCACTGTTAAGGAAGTAGGCTCCTTCAAAGATTTCCCACCTTACCCTTTTCAGGAAATTCCAAAAAGATGTTCACTTTGACACATACATCAACATTGATTTCTTCATATATCTACCAAATTGTTATCATCTTTTCCTTTGGTTAGATTCACTAGTTCATCTAAAATTTCCTTGCATTTAATTCGTAGTTTTCGCTCTTCAACAATTTCACATGACTACAACGATTAACACGGTACAGTTATAAATCTGATCATGAAACAGATAAGGCTGGAGATGAAAAAATGTATGGTTATCAACTATATCAGCCATGATTTAGCAGTGGCAAAATAATAATAATAAATTAAAAAAACAGCACTGTACTTTCATTTCTTTTCAATTATTTACTCAAATAGAAAAGTTTACCAATCATGTACTTTTACTTTCACAAGCATATCAATTAAATTATTTTCTTCCAATTTTAATCAAATTAACTAACAACAACGGTCAATTAGGGATAATAAAACAAAGGGAAAAGAAGAACAAGTTGACAAAGTGAACATGAACATCCTAACCGTTATTGATGATTTATGTTAGGCAATTTGATTAAAATCGGATGCAATGACGTGCTTGATATGATTATTATAGCGGAAAACTTTTTGAGGGATGGTAAGAGTTATCAAATTCAAGAAAAATATATAATGAAAATGAGCACAACATATTTTTCAAAGCTAGCACGATCTTTAGTTTGTCATTTATCCATTTCTGGACCACACTGTATGGATTTCAAGTTATGTATTTCCTTACTTACCAGAGTCCCAACCAATTTTTAGCCCTATACATTATTGTTCTAGCTTTCCCTCTTTGGTTGGCAAACTTAATGCTTTCTTATAGTTGTTAATGATCAGATAAAATACAGCATTGTGTAAGACCTGTGCCTAAACTTAACAAGATAACCCAAGTTTGAGCATTAGATCACGGTCATATAGCAACTACCCTTACAACCACCACTCGGCTAATAGCAGGGTTCACAAAGTTGTGAAATTACTTGAACATATATCTCAGCATAATCTAATTAAGGCGATTAGCAAATTGTGAGCCTGTTCTACATGCTTGAACAAGCAATAAGGACTTCATGTTCATCACACTTGCTCTCTAGCATCAAGGTGAATGATCCATGTGATAGGACCTAATATTTCCTAATGACAAGATTTAATAGTAAGAATCTGCAATTAATCAAAAATTATTTTAAATAAGCCATATACTAATAAAGAATTGATAGTATTAGTAGCAAACTCAATTTGTGAACAAATATCGAACCCTTCCAAGTGCCATGCTTCTAAGATGTAATATGAATACACTTTTAGGAATAGGCTTAGGGGATGTTTGGTTGGTTTTCCATTAAGTCCTAATGGATAAAACTGTCTATGTGAATTAATCTCTCTATATATATTGGGAAGTTTTTTGTTTTGGGAGGGTTTTTTCACAGATGGAATGAGTGTTTTTTTTAATTGGGAGGGACAGGTTTGGAAAAAACCTTGGCTTTCTGCATAAGCTCCCACTAGAAGCTTACTGAATAAGCGACTTACTATATCATTAAGCTACCAAACAGTCATCTATAGCTGACTGCTGACTGCTGACCGAATAAGATGCGAGTCATATTAAGCTCATTAAGCAGCTAACAAACAGGCCCTTAGTCATATATATAAGACGAAGTGATGTCGTGCTTCAATGTACTTGTCTTCCCATGAAATCCTTTGTAAATGCAATAGCTACAGTGTGTCACTGAAAGAGATTAGCTTCATTCCACGTGTTATGACACCCAGTGTCTTCAGAAAATTCTCCAAACAAAGAGCTACTAAAACAGATACAGAACGAGCAGGATAATCAGATTCAACCATGGACACAGCTACATGAGACTGTTTCTTACTACACCAAGAGAATATTTTCCGCTAACCACAAATTCATTCATAGAAGTTGGATCAACATTCATCTTACTCTTGCCCAAATTTGCATCGTTGCACAGTCTGAAACTCAAGTCTCCACCCTGGTAACCAGGGATCAAGTTTGCAGTTCTGTGCAAATATTAAAGCATCCTCTCGACCACTGTCCAGTGCACAAGCGTAAGATTACGCTGGTAACATTACCAATTTCATACCTTTTTCTTGGTCCAGTGTTCAACATAGTGTACATTAAAATGGCTATTGCTTCTCTTTAAGTCATGCTGGACAAGTGATCCTTCTCTTCAGCCATTCTTAGGACATTGGTCAATGCTAAAGTGTGTGCTCCCCATGGGAGTATCAATGTGCTCACAATTATACATGTGAAAGGCTACCAAAGCTGATCACCAACACCTTGTGCATATTTTACTAACAACTCCCCCAATGAGCTACGCAGTCATCTTCATCCACACAAACCACCAAGAACATCCTAGTGATGGTACAAACTCAAGTCCCATACCTACCAAACCCGAACGGCTTTCTGAATGTCTCATCATGATTTTCAGGATGATGTGTTCATCAAGTGCATAAAGGCTTCCCATTCTCAAAAATGTGATTACCCACTTGTCTTATTTTCTAACACCTATCATAGGGCAAAAATCATCAAGTGACTAATGATCTAAAGAAAGCAAAGCAATGTCCATAAGCTACCAGATTCCCGTTTCTACTAGAAGTACAAAATCATGCATCCATTTCAATTGCAAAGAGACTTGAGTAACTCATTAAAAATGCAATCACATGACCAATTCATCTTGCATATAGAAACTACATGAATAGATCCAACAGAAAATTTAAACAATCACCCAAATTTGAGGATGTACAGACAACAAAAGAATGATTAGGTATAGTTCAAAGCCATGAGCTTCGAGGTTGATGATTGAAATCTAAACTAATTTAGTTCGAACCCTGAATAGATTCTACTCCAATTTCAAGCCACGGGATTTCGAATTCCATGATACAAACTCAAATTAATTCAACACAGAGACCAGTAGTACTGAAGTCAACAAAATAGAATAAATTAAACAATTTATATGTAACGTACGGTATATGCTTGAAGACGAGGAAGACGATGAGGGCGATGTTGAGCCGTTCGTTGTAAGTTGGGATGATTATACTATACTTGTTTTTATTCTGGTGTTCCGCCATTTGCAGATCAAAGACCCTAAAACTCCCAATTTCGATTTGAAGTTCGAAATTCAGATGGAGAGGTTTATTAATGATGATCAACAAGTATTTTTCTTGTTACTTTGTCATTAAAATAATCAACTATTAAATTAGGGAAAAAGGGATAAAATAACTTTCATAATTTTTTTTATTATAACATTGTACTTTTAGTTTTTTTTATTACAATAATGTACTTTCAAATTATTTTTTATTAAAACATTATACTTTGAAAAATTTACTCATTATAACATTTGGGTAATCTTTTGATTTAAATTTATCCATTATACTAGTTTTTTTGCCACCTCATTGTCTACGTAGGTTGTCCACATGTACTATAGTGATGTGACTTTCTTACTACATCATTGTACTTTCAAAATTATTTTATTATAGTATCTACTAGTTCTTATTAAACATTGTATTTTTAATTTTAATATTTAGATATTTTATATGTTATTTAATAAATAAATTAAAAAAAAATTAAATTATTCATTAATATACCAATATCAATAAAACTAGTAGAACACAACTTATCTTGTTAATATTTTTTTAAAAATATGTATTTTTTGAGAAAAGAAAAATAAGAATTGTTTCTTTTTTTTTCAAAAATATTATCTTTTAAAGAATATATTAGATTTGTTCAAAAACTTTTATTTGACGTATAAATATATTAAATTAATTAGATATTTTTTGAATTATTTATTAATATAACAATATTAAAAAATTATAAATAACAATTTATTTCGTTAACATTTTAAATATAATTTTAAAAGATATGTATTTATTTGAACAATATAAAATAGGAAAAATTACTTTTTTTACAAACAAAATATATCTCGAAAATAATGTTTCATATTTATTTAATAAATATTTTACACTAACAATATTTAATTTGTATGCAACTTAATAAGAAAAAGTTTAAAAAAATGTTTTTTTATATCATAGCAATGAAAAATGAAAATCACTAATAATAGTTTGAAATATGTTTTTATCTAAATTTTAGTTAAGTAATCAAAATGATATGTCATCTACATCACCTCATTGAAGCCACACAAACAAAAAAAATCAAAGGGTTAACCGGTTTAAAAGGTAACAAGTTACCCATTGCTATTATATGTAGATTTTTTAAAGTACGATGCCTTAAAAAAAATAATTTGAAAGTACATTGTTGTAATAAAGAAAAATAAAAGTAGAATGTTATAATAAGAAATTTTATGAAAGTAGGTTGCTATTTCATGTATTTAACCCATTAAATTAAATGTAAAATTATTTAACTTATTTTAAATTATATCAATTAAGGGGTGTTTTGGGATTGCTTATTTGAAACAACATGTGTTTTTCTACAAAAGCACTCATTAATTTATTATAAGTTAAAATGGTTTAACTACTTCAAAAACTTTTTATTATCGGTTTTGACACCGGTATAAATTGTTTATCCAAACACTTAAAAATATTTATCACCGATGTCATACCGAAATAAGTCAATAAGTTGTTTTTATAAGCAATCACAAACACTCCCTAATTATTTAATTCTTCTTCCAATTAGGATTCATCCCAACTAGAGACGTTTAAAAATTAGAAAAACTAATCCCGACGTAACCGGTCTTGATCTCGACCAAAAACCATACCTTGGCGGCCTGGCCTCTATGTTTTGTAATCGGTCCTTAGAACAGGTCTCGGTCTCAGACCGGGCCCAAATCAATCTCAGTTTTTTGATTTTTTTATACAAAAATATTATATATGTTTTTATAGTGACGATTTTTGAGATTTAGTATTTGAACACTTACAGAAACTAGAAAAACGTCAAAAAAAACTTGAAAATCTTATAGAAATATTAAGAAACTTGATATATAATTTATAAAAATTTATTTTTTATAATTAATTGGTATTCTGTATAATTTGATGATGATATTTTGATCTTTATAGATCATATATTATTTAGATCAAAAGTGTATCGTATAATATAACGTTATATAATATAATATATATATATATATATATATATATATGTTATTTTAGTATTTGGAGTGATGTTTATTAGTTAGTTATTAGTTAATTTTATAAATTTCAGATAACATATATATATCTAATAATAATTTCTAAATTTTGTATAATAATCTATACTATATTATAAAGCATTTGACAAAAACTCTTAAAAACAATTTTTTATACATGAAGTGCTATTTATTAGTGCATATTACTTAAACTTCAAGATTACAAATAATTTTGCATAAGTACAACTTATTAAAGCTTCATTTTTAAATTTGTGTAACTAAATACAGATAAATATAATCAAATACAGGATAAACATTCATTTTAAATATAGAAAATCTAAACTATAATTATGATAATCATTGAGTTTTAACAGAATGTTTAATTATTATCTTTATAGAAAATTATATTGTTAAACCAAAACTAAATTACTTTGTTTTTAAATCTAAATTAGCATATAATAAAAAATTGAATTAAAGAAGTTACACCGAAAAAAAAAGAGAATTATTAAATAGTTAATATGATACTATCAGTTTATTTTTTTCAAAATTTTATGTTATCTTCAAATTTATATTTCATTCAAAAATAAAAACATTATTGTTTTTTTTCAGAACCACATAAAATCGTATTATATCGATCGAGAAGAATAAGAAAGAAACAACTAAATGAAGATTTATCTCACTGCATTGTGCGAGTACTGTTCTAGTATATAATAAAAATATTGTATAGATAAACTTATGGCTGAAATTCTCAAACCAAGTTGAAATCAAAAAACATATATACCAAAATAAATGTCAAATTAAAGAAGATAAAATATTTATTTTTTAATGTAATTTGTTTGATTAAAAATTTAAGTATATTTAAGAAATTTTGAATTTTTAAAAATTTTGAAAAAAATATGGATTTTTAAAAAACTTGATTCGTTCATATGAAAAGGGTAATATGAATTTACAGAACCCCTCAAACTTTCATTCTTATTATTTACAAAAGAGTTTGAGCTTGTCTCCAAAGGTCAAAAGTATCAAGAGGTCCAGGTTCAAATTCAAGGAGGAATAAAAATATCTTTGTGGCCACAGAGGTTCAAATGCGGTGACTCTGAGCTATATGCAAAGCAGATGGTCGTCCTGGGATTAGTCAGCTCACATAGCAGGTTGGATATCAGGTTAATCGGGGAAAAAAAAGTTATTTAAGAAATAATAGCTAAATAAAAATTCTAAGAGGTTTTTGGACTAAATTATTTACCAAGACGACCACGAATTATCTGGAGTCGTTGCTAATAAACCTTCATGACCGTAAACGCTTTAACAACGTCTAGATTCCAGCTAAGATAGATAAGATTTTTCACTACATCAACTGAATGGCTTAATAACTATTCTTCAAAGAACCGGTATGATTATGGAAAGCTGAATGAAATTAATTGTGTAATTTTTCAAGCAACAGGAATTAATTGATACAAACACAACATCAAAATAACGTTACACCGAGGCCTCGACTCGTAACCAAATGCTTCTCGTTCTGGTTTTGGTTCTGGTTCGGATCAACTTGATTGTGTCGAGACCACCCACATGTTGTATTCTAAAATTACACAAATTTTAACCGCGAAAAGAGTTGCAACGCAATACTAAACATATTCAGTGAAAATAACCGTAGAGTTCCAAGAAGCAAATGCTGAGTGTCCACAGGTTTATATCGTCTGTCGTGGGACCCATTAGCGCGACTCTAAAGTATCTAAAAGGAAGGAGAGCATTTGGACCCGTAACTGCCCACGAAGCAAATTGCCCCGGTTTACTTAGCGTTTGATCCTTCTCGTGTACCCTCAAGTTTGTCCAAATTTTACCATCTGAGGAACCCTGACACACATTTATAACGTGTCAGCAAATTCACATCTTTTGACACTTAGAATTGGACACTCGATATGTTGTTTAGCAAGAACAAGCTAGCTTATTCTTTTCAGCTTATTGAAAAAGCTCCGTTTGGTTCATCATAAGCTAGCTTTTCAAATTCAAGTAGCATTTCAATAAGCTCTAAAAGGTTCTTTTTCCAATTATGCCTTTTATATCTTTCCAATTAAATTTTTTAACATGTCATTTTAGGTTATTTCACATTGCCATCTGATATGCTTGTTCTAGAAAACGATATGAATGTACCTGAAAATTCCAGTATCTCATGAAAGCCTTCGATCCATCTTGTCTCAACGTGTAATAGTTGCACATGAGCTGTTTCAAATCAGACGTAAATATCAGATTGGCCGATACAAATTTAACGTATATTTGCTTGCGATACAAAGAGAACGAGATATCGATATGGTCATATATGATCTTTTTAAGAACACAGGTATCTTATACACCTTTTTCTTAAGAATTATGAGGAATTTTTCGGAAGTATGGATTAAACCTGGTGATCGATGCCAAGATCAATCATCCACCACGAACAGTTCTTCCCATCCTCGATCCGTGGGCCAGCAAAAGAAGTCCCCTGTTTCAAGAGATTGGTGATAGTTAACAAACGGTTTGTAACATTCCCAGTCAACCATACAGATATTGTCCGCTTTATCCACACTTGGGCTCACGGTTTTGAAACACGTTTGGTGATAGTTAACAAACGGTTGGCAACCGATGTGGGATCTCAAAATCCACCCCCCAAGGGAGCCCAGCGTCCTCGCTAGCACACCAGTCTGATTCCCGCTTATGTAGTTTTGGTTTTGTTTTAAAAGAAAGGAAATGAATTCGCAAATGAAATGACCTAAAGATCATAACGATGACGTACCTGATAAGTCCTCGAGGCCAAGACCTTAGGATCTGTGTATCTTGAAATAGGATTGCTAGCGGTAATGCTGATTTTCTGAAAAATGAAATAATAACAACAATTATAAAATAGACGATTACTTCCGTGTTGCTCCACCTACGTGGGACATGAAACATGATGACTCTTGATACGTCAGTGATTTGTACTTAATGTTTCATAGATGTTGTATTTTTGAACTTTAACAGTTTTACCTGAATGTTTTTAAGACAGTATAGATAAACGGAAAATATACCTTAGCTAGAACGGGATTAACCCATTGGTGTTTCCCATATGATGTGCCCACATAGAACAAAACTCCATTGCTATCCCCATCGCGTATGTATTGAAGCTCCTTAAAACTTGATTGCCTATGTTGGAACCTTAACAATCAAGACCGAAGTGTCTTAACACAAGAATTGAGAATTATTCAAACGAGTTTATATTACTAATGGAAATTTTACGCACACTTCTCACAAGCCGCTTCTACGGTTTGAGGGTAGAGATCATGTGAGCATACATCTCAAGCCCAACTCCCAAACCCCACCTTTGGGTGGGATATACTGGGCTCGTTTCACTTGGTTTGTTTTATGGCAATTAGTTATCAATATAGGATACTTAGATATAAGCTTAGCATTATATTCATGTATGCATTATGTTAAAAAGAAACAAAACGCGGGTTACTTTCAAACATACTTTGGATGACTCCCCGAAGTCGGCAAACCCACTTCCAAGAATCCGATGGCTTCTTTCACCTGGCAAATGATCATACAGAAAAGTTAAAGAAAGACCGAGAATATAATTTAATTGTCAGTGTTAAACTGTTATCACAAGACCTGCAACTTACCAGATGATGAAAAGTAGGGATTTGCATGCTTAGATTGCTAGTTTCCATCTGAAATAATAAGATAAATGTTGTTGCCAACATTAGGACAGTCGAAAGAAACTATTTGGAAAACCTCGGGATTAAGATCATGATGATGCATACCTTCTTAAGCAAGAATAACGGAAACAATGAAAAGCGGACAAGAGGTAGCAAGACATTTACTGACGGAAATCTTGCCCCAAAAAGATCTTCTGGTGTCATAGTAGAAAGCATGTTGTCTACTACCTCCCAACCGGATAATTCCCTCGGTTGCAAACCCCACATTAAGATGGCATTAAGAACACGCTCTTCAGAAGTTACCGTCAAATCTGGATGCTGCAAAATCCACGCTTCACTATAAAGACATGTTCATTTCTCAGGAGCTAGAGAAGCAGCCCACAGTCTTAAAAATATAGCGATCCCCAAAGTTCAACGTATTTATTATATGAAAAACCAAGATGAACCCGCTTTTGACACGATTCCATGCCTAAATCTATGCAACAAACTTGGTAAACACAAGATAAGCTAGCTTATTGAAAAAGCCCCTTTTGGTTAGCCATAAGCTAGCCTTCCGAACCGCTTCTTGAAATAGCTCTTCAATAAGCTCCAGAGGCTTTTTTCAGTTATGCTCCTTATATTGTTCCAATTAATCTTTCAACATGTCTACTTGGGTCATTTTACATTATCAGCTAGTTTTTACCAAAATGACTAGTTTATAAGCTAACAGCTAGTTTTTACCAAACATGACTAGCTTATCAACCAACAGCTAGCCAAACATAGCCAAGATTACCACTTTATGTACACAAAAGGAAAAGAAAAGAAAGGGTACAAAGAAAGTGAGAGGTTTTTAACCGCCAGAAAAAGAACGCAAGTCAATTAGGCCCTAAATTACCAACAAATATGGGGAAAAACATCAGTTACTGAAACAAATGTGGAATGTAATAGTTTAAACTTAGAACCCACCTGTAAAATGTTAGAGAAAGTTGAGTCATGTAGCAAGACGAAGTCGATACTTGCAGTTGTACAGTAATCAAAGTGCATTGTAAATATCCTTTCACATGTTTCTTCTATAAGTTTACATGAAGGTATCGAGGGAATAACTTGAAGAATTAGGCATACCGACCCCTGCAACAAAGTATGATGGTTAGATATAGAAACAATTACTCAAATTACTTGGCCAAAAGTGTCTTCTTCCTTGTCCATTTAAACTTGTGCATAATACAAAAACTGTTGTTGTAAGTTGTAACACCTTCATCCAATAGTTGAATTCCATCCCTGCATATAATATATAGACAAGAGTAATTAATATTTTATAAATTCATCATTATAAAATCCATCTCTTTGTTCTCACAAGTCCGAATCTGCACTTCCCCGTACTTTTAGAGTAACACTTCAAAACAACGGTAATCAAACACAATATTAAGAGAAAACAAATATTAAAACATTATATAATTAAGGTGAACAAAAGGACTATGAGAACTACCTCTGAAAGTCGCTCCAAAAGCGTTTTGCAGCAGTCCTGATGAAGGAGAGATACCCCAAATTGATCTGCCAATAGAACAAGCTCAAGTAACAAGATATTGCTATCAACCGTATCTTCCAAGTTGAATCCTCCGCTATAAAAGTAGTTGATCATGATCTTGAACGCCTTCGGTGAGACATCTTTTAAGCAAACGTCCGATGAAACACTCTCACTCATTCCATTTGTGAACATCTGCACACACAATGGAATCATTAGTTGTTGTGTACAAGCCAGGGGTCTTCACAGAAACAACCTCTTGAATTTAGTGGTTGAGGTAAGATCTGCGTGCATCCCATCCCTATCAGACTATTTTCTTTTGGAAAGGTGTCCCAGGCTATGCCCAGACTAATCCCGGCAAATTGTGACTGCAAGACATTAACTCTGATAAACTCAGTGGCCACAATTGTTGTGGACTCCTGTAAGTGAACCCAGGGTAGATGTGTCAGACTATACTTTCGGGTGGGATGTACTGGGTTCATTTGGTTGTTTGGTTTGGTTCAGTTAGTTCGTAGATCATGTCATAACAAATTAAAGAATTCGATCTCCATAATTTCATAAACAAAATGAATATAAATAAGGGTAGTTCACCTTCATAAATGGGAGACTCCATAAACCAAGAATAACTTTATGAGACTGAGAAATATGACCATGACCTTCAATGCTAACATCCACATCACTAAAAGCGCCTGTTATGTGAAATTGTTCAAGCCTCTGCACATTCACAGGAAGTCCCAAGGGAAAGGATGCACCACCGCAGTGGGGCTGGGAGCTGGGGTATGATATCTCTACGTTCTTTCCTGAGTCAAACAACTTTTTGTTGAGTTTAAATCGTTCGATGACTTCTGCACATTGCTTCACCAATGAAGTCACTCCAAATCGTACGCTTAGATCCCTCAGGGAGCTCAGCAGCGACTCTGGAATCTACATATAGCACGATAATCACTAAAATTCGCGTAAAATTATGTGTAAAAGTCCTCTAACAACCTCTCTGTAACACAAGAAACATTAAACTTACGCAAAATTATGAACTTTTTGAGTTTATTGAAAAAAGCCTTGTTTGGTTAGCCATAAGCTAGTTTTTTGAAAAGCAATTTCAAGTAACGTTTCATTAAGTTCCAAGGGCTTTTTTCCACTTCTTTTTCCAATTATACCCCTTACATTTTTTTTCAGTTAATTTGTCAACATGTTCTTTTAAATCATTTTACGTTATCATCTAACTAATCAACTAGTTTTTATCAAACATGACTAGTTTATCAGCTAACAGCTAGTTTTTCAACTAGCAGATAGCTAGTTTATCGGCTAGTTTGCCAAACATAGCCATAGTCATTGTGTACGTTTATAGCACCACAAAGCTCAAGAAATTGAAATGAAGACAAATATAGAGTACAAAATTGGAGGAGAAATTACCTGCGTAAAGCCTTTATAAATAAAACGAAGAAATGCATGTAGAACCGGATAAGATACATCTTTGATCAAGATAACATCTTGATCTAACAAGCTCAAATCGAAATTGTCTGTTGCAGCCAGGATCACCTTATGAGCAGGAACAAATCTTTCCTCCTTACCCACGATGAAATACACATCAGATAATTCCCAACTTTCAAGAAAACTTCCAAGACCCTGATGATTATCAAAGTTTCCGAATTCATTCCTCAAATCTTCTTCCATATCTTCATCCCCCTTATACTCTACACAATCCACATGCTTCCAAAGGGATATATGGTTATGTGTTAATGGAAGTACATTAACATTTCTATATCCAACATGTTTATCCCAACTACTAAGCCCAACATATTGAACGCTGCAATTTGGCTTGGTGTCAAGCCACTGAAACACAAGATTTTGAAAAGGGTACCTCCCTTTTCCAATGCTAATCAACCCATCACAAATGCTTATCCAGTAACTTTGAAATGCCGAAGAACAACATAAACCTAAACCTGCTTCATCAACCGCTGTTATCCCATCTACCTCAATTTTCAACCTCCGATTTCTATGACTACCAATGATTACCGTATAATGCGGGCTGTTATCCCTTTTGTAATGGTAGTGTTGACTACCTAACTGCTCACGAAAAACTACAGTCACATCGTTGTGAGCAAATGCCTCAAATGCCACACACCCTCTTCCAGCTTCCTTAAATCTTAAATCGTCTCGCCAAGCACATTCGAAAGGTGCAACTGTCAGAAACTTCTTCTGCTTCTTCTCCATTTCTTCCTTAATTTACTTGAAGATTCTGCTATGACACACTGAATGTATCATATATATATATATATATATATATACACACACACACATATATATATAAATGAGTGGTTGATGATCAAGAACAACACAAATGCTATAAAACAAAAGTTGCAATTCACATTTATGAGTCACCTGTCCACTCAAATAAACAATGTGTTCCTAATGAATTTGATAAAAGAATCAAGGAAAAGACAACTTGTCATACGTTGGCATTAGATGCTTACTTATCCAAATGAACAATAATGGGGTTTTAAATATCTTTGATTCTTTTAAGAGATTTATTCAAAGAAATCCCTAGAAACCCATTTTAGTTGACGAAAGAAGTCAAACATCATAATCCCGTAAAGCATAAAGCAATTATAAGCAACTTGCTTCCTTTTAAATCCTACACCACAATTTTCGAAAACCTCTCACCAACAATCGTAAAAAATATCTGGCATCACAGCCTCATATTGAGTTCAAAAGATATCAAGAAACGACAATCAGTGACGAGGGGTATAAGAAATTGAATCCAATAAAGGATTCGCAGGAAAACCCAACATCAAAAATAGCTGAAAACATATTAAATTAGCGAGATGAATAAACAAATTTTACCTGACTTGGTATTATTTGGTGATGAACCCAGAAGGATAATACCTAACGAATCTTCCCCAATTGAGTGTGTGATCGGAAAATCTTTTTCTGATTAGATGAGGCTGAAAACGTGGCAAGCACGGCGGAGATACGATGGAGGTGGCAATAATTGATTGACGTGTGACTTATTTCCCATTTAAGATCTGTCTCTTCTTAACTCAGTCACTCTCCTCTCCCCAGTCCCCACCAATAAAGGTCTCTCAATCAAAGAAATTTGTTGCCAAAATGTACACAAAATCATAGTTTTTGCTCTATCAGGAAAATATGGTTTTTTTTGGTCCCTCAACCTTCGTTTTTTACAGTTTCTTCACTGAAACAAAACTAATTTATCCATTCAGTTTTTATAGACCTTGGTGTTGTTTGACAGTTGCTGAATGGTCTGGTGCAAAATAATTAAGAGACTCTTATGATATAGTGTAAATAAAATATATTTTTTTGGTAATTGTTTTCAATGAAATTAGATCGCTGAATGGTTAAGGGAGATACATGATACAAAATCATTCAGAGAGTTTTACAAGCATTAAGAGGCAGACTTTTTTTTGTCAAACAAGATTCACCTCTTAATAATTCAGAGACTATCTCTTAATGAAACTATTAAGAGGTAAATAAACAACGCCTTTTGTTAGAAGATGGCCCTGAGTCATCGCATTTGAACCTCCATAGCCACAAGGGGATTTTTATTCCCCCTTGGATTTGAACCTGGGATCTCCTGGTACTTTTGACCTTTGGAACCAAGCTCAAACCAATCAGGCACCACCCTTGTGGTTAAAGACGTTTTTTTTTTGTTTTATATGTGTAATGATTTATTCGTTCAAAAAATTGTTTAGAGACTTAATCACTCAAAATAAGAAATTTCGTTGTTTTCTTAGGGGTCGTTTAACCAAATATTTACCCGGTAAGCACTTACCGGTATGAGTCAACACTATAATATATTTTATCAGATAAGATTATAGTATATTGAAACGGTATCGTATGCAACAATTTACCCGGTAAACGCTTCCCGGGTAAGAGTCCTCACCATCACTTACCGGGTAAGACTCTTTATCCCTATCGTCACTCTTACCGGATAAGATTTTCAGTCCTTGCAATGTACATCAGGTGAAGAAAGTTAGTAAACGACCCCTTAGGTTTAAATAAGTTCAAGTATTTGATTACTCATTTTCAAAATGTTTAACATTTTATTTATTCAAAAAAAAAAAGTTTAAAAACTCAATTATTCAAAATATAATGGTTTACTAGGAGAAGTTCAAAAAACTCAACCAATTTTTTCTATTTTAAACGGTTTAACCTTAAACTTTTTTTTAAAATGAGAAAAATAAAAATTCATTTTAAATGATTAAGTTTTTTAACTATTTTGAATGAAAAATTCATTAAACTTTTTTATTTTGGTAAATAAAAAAAAACATCACACTTTTAAAATTGGTTACATACATTCTTTTAATTAAAAAAAGTTACATTATCGACTATTCAAAAGTTTGATGATTTATTTAAAAAATTATATTATAAACCAGAGATCTCCTGATGTTTTTAACCTTTAAAATTAAACTTAAATCAATCAAATACCACGTTAACTTTTCCTTTAAATTTACAAAAAATTGTACCATCAACAATTCTTTAAACTTTTTTTTAGTTAACCATCAACTTTTCTTTTTTAACAACGCTGACAATGAAGTCAGGAATCCTGTGGTTCCCGTATCATGTGACGCATCATGATGTGTCATGTGTGTGTCGACTTTCATTTTAATGTTACACAAACAACCCCTGTATTCTATGCATTTGACATTCCAAACCCCTTATTAATCACTCAATTAAATTTATGGCCCAAAAGTTTCCTACTAAACATATTTTAATAAAAAAAATCTTTTTTTTAATCAAAAATTGTTACATAACATTTGTTATTTACTTATTCGAATCTAATATTTCAATGTATGATTTAACTGATGGTGCAGTTTAAAATTTTATGACTGAGATAGGATTTATAAATTGACTGTATAACTTTCTCTCTAAATAACTATCAGTATTTTGTTGAGTAGTCTGTGTTTGCCTACAATGTCTTACTTCGACATCTTGGTTTGATAACTAAACTTCTTGTTTACTAATTAATTCAAACAAGCGGTTGGACAATACTGATCAGTTTTGTGATCCATAGGTAAACCAGAAAGTAAGCTCGTTTGGTATGCAGGGGTTAAAGTTGTGCATGAGTTGGGTTGTCCAGGTTAAAAGGTATTTGAACAAACCAACTCAATGTTTGGGTTTTGAAAAATCTCAACCCAAACAAAAGTACAACCAACCCAACCCAAATCGTACGGGTTGGATTAAGTTGCCAGGTTGGCAATGATTGAAACTTTGATACATTATTTTACAATCTAGTTAAACGATTGTATTTAAACGAAGTAAAATCAAAATGAGAGTATACAAATAAGACTTATAATTACATAAGACATTTTAAAAGATATATGCATGAGACTTTATATTAAAGAGGTGTTTGGGATTGCTACAAAAACAATTTATTGACTTACTCCGATGTGGAATCGGTAATAAACATTTTTTAGTGTTTGAATAAATAGCTTATACCGGTGTCAAACCGGTAATCATGAGTTTTTGAATAAGTTAAATCATTCTAACTTAGAATAAGTTGATAAGGACTTTTGTAGAAAAACATAAGTTGTTTCAAATAAGCAATCTCAAACACCCCTTAAGGCTAACAATGACACATATTAAGTAAAGACTTAAAAATCATATTAAATCCATGGTGTAAAAAGACATTAGGTTCATCAGGTTGGGTTGAATTCAAATGGTCTAACCCAATGTTAGAGATATAACGAAATTCATGCACACAGACATACAGTGTCGAAGCCACCTCGAAAGTTATGTGGTCAACTAATCGTTGTTCCATCTCAACTTTCTGGTTTTGTTTATTGATTGTGTTTTTTAATATAAGTTTTTTTATAATGTTTTGTTAAATCCATTTCAATTTCTTGTTATTTTATTTTAAAATAAACTATTTCGTCATCTGTTAATTGTCCCGTATGCTCAAACCAGCAGTCAAAAAGTAAAGCATATAAAATTTTAGTATGATTTGCTATTCGGTTTAACCGAAACAGTAAAAAGATTAACTGAAACTAAATCGAATAAGTAATTATTATGTTGTTAACCAAACTATTTAACCTGAAAACCAAATAACTTGAAACTGTTTTCGGCTCGGGTGAGTTATTCATTTTTGAAATTTTTTTTATACCCCTACCAAGTATGACCCCAGTCAGCTAAGTCTCTGAATTCGCAACTGCACACATACACCATGAACCTCCTTCCCTTCTCCGACCAGTTGTTCTTCCCCACCCCTAACCCAAAAATAAATCTCTCCCTTGATAAAGATTTAAGCGCCTTCATGAGCATGAGCTTACCACCGTTGAAGAGGTTGATGTTACTGATTATCGAAAATCAGTAATAGGCCAAAACTCCATTACAACCAAAAGGGTCAACGGTCTGGTGGCATCTGGGTAGTTCCCAACTTTCTTAATGGTCAAAGATCCAAGTCTCATAAAATGTGAAAAATATGTCGTTTTTGCAGTATACAGATATTATATATATATATATATATATATATATATATATATATAAATTGAAAAGCCATTTTTTATTTTTCAAATAAATAAAATATAAATCGACCATAAGACAAAAATAAACCATAAAAGGTGTGATTGTAACGAAAATTTATGGAAAATTAGAAATTAAACCCAAATGGAAAGGTCCAAATGTTAGATTTCTATTCTGAAGCCCAAGATTTGTCAAAAAAAAAAACAAGCCTAATTTTCTCTTGTATTTGGATAAACTAGGGACGGATTTAGAATTTTTTTTAACAATGACATCGTTTGACTATAAGAAACAAATATCGAGATATTTTTTACAATATTATAATTGGTCTGTTGGTTAGTTCATTACTTTTCATATGTGGGTCTTGTGTTCAAGTCTTTTATTGCAAAAAAAGATTCAGAAACATAATACATCTGAAATTAAAAGCTAAAACCTAAGAAAACGATACCAACGGGATTCAAACTCGGGTCTGTGCTGAAAGAAAAGTTTTGCAAACCAACTCTACAAAGGAAAATTTGTATTCTTATTGTAATTTCAAAATATATACGGTGACATGCAACAAATCAATAAATTGCACATTTCACAAGGTGGGTCTATCTCTTGGACAAACCTATATTTCTAAAAGAAAATCCACTGTCATGTTGCTTAGTTAGCAAGAGGGTGGATGACTTTGCCCAAATATAAGACATGTACTAGGTTTCATCGCAGACCCCTGCTAGCTTTAGCCGCTGAATGAGCAAAAAATACCCTCTCACTATGGTGGCTTTGAAGACGGGTTCCATATGAGGTCGGTTGAGGTTGTCGGTAATCAACTTTTACCCAAGTTGTAATTATATTTTCCCGTTTGAATCTAATGTATCCATCTCGTGAGGAGAAATTTTAATTTTTATATTTATCAAATTATTTTCTTTTTGAATATTGAAAATGCCAAAAATAACAAGAATGTATGTTTGTTAATTAGGGATTACCAGGGTACTTGCTTCGTTTAAGGACTCAATTCAAAATTTGGACAGGAATTACTTCTAAATCGTTATCATCTTAATCCATTTTCTGCAATCCGAACCAAATAAAACCTGATTGGAGAAAGTCTCGATTTTTCATAATTATTTATCAAAATTCAAACTTATATTTGAATTATGCAACATGGCATTTGCAGTATTTCTATCATCACAAATATTTTTCGTTTGAACATAATCAACTGTTTGAGGCATTGAAACCAATCGACAAAGCCACTGGCGTTTTTAGAGCCCAAAGAGATCAAACATCTTAAAGCAAACCACCATTTAGGAGTTGTTTCACTTGTTTGTTTACCTTTTAATATTTCCATTAAGAGATGGTTTTTAAATCGTTAAGAGTTGAATCTTGTTTGACAAAAAAAAATATGTCTCTTAATGGGTTCTAAAACAATCTAAATGAATTTGTATCATGAGTCTGCCTTAACTATTGATCACCCTAATTTAATTGTAAACAATTACCAAACAATTATATTTCATTTTGCACTATTTCATGAAAGCATATTAATCATTCTGACCACTTAATCATTTTTCACCAAAACCATTAAGCAACTGTTAAACATCCCCTTAATTATCAAACATAGCAGATTTAGCAAATAAGCTTAAATTCTACCTTTGATTTGAGAATGAGAATCAAAAATCTTGTTTGAGTTAGGATAATGATCAAAAGGATCATCGTCACAAGCAGTGGCGGATCCAGAAACTTTGACTACCTTTAAGGTAGACTAAAGGCACGCAAAGTCGTGTGACGTATTTTTAGCCTAATTACACCATTTTGAGGTTGATTTTTTTGATTTTGTCGTTCTATACCTATCTTTGCCCACCCTCAATGACCAACAGGTGTAAAACTAATTAGGGCCTTTTGAATTTTATCTTAAATAGCCTATTCAGGGGGAAAATCCTATGTTATCTATTTTTATTTCCTTCATGTCTTTTTAAATAAGACGTTGATAAATCATCTCTCTCTCCCCTCTACAGTTATACATACGTATGCACATATACAAAAATTTGATAATAACAACTGATTTATATTCGTCTATATGTGATACAAATTTCTTGCTCTTTTGATCAAATCCGTTAGTCGATTCGGCAACAAAAAAAAAACATCTCTATAGTAAATTGTTTATGTGTAGAAATGGCAATGTGATCAAGGATATCGGGGACCACGGTCTCCATTCCCAGTTAACTCGGGATTCCGCGGTTATGAGGCTCCTCACCATGTATGGGTATTTTTGCCATCGTGTATTATTTTGGAATTTTTTCAGCCTAAATTTACCAAAAATAAACAATTAAAAAAGGTATATATATATATATGGCAATATGTATATTAAATATGTAAAGAATTTATGTTGTTAAAAATGGTACAGAAGGGAAACATGTGAAATAACTTATGCAGCAATTAAGGGATATAATTCCATCTTTTTTGGGACTTTTAAATCCTATTTTTATATTTAAATAATACTAAATAAAATCCTAGAAAATAAATTTCGAATTAAAAAATAAAAGATTATGGGGATTGTGAAAAGCAAATATCACTTTATGTGCAATGCAAGATGAGATTTAATGCACTCTTAAAAATTCCTTTTTTTAATATTTAAAGATATTCTTTTCTTGCAAAATAAATAAGGTTTAACTGGATAAAACAAATTATATCTTTAAATAAATTAAAATTATTTTTCATAATAATAAATAAAATATTCAACTGAAATTAAATAAAAGTAATTTTCATATTTTAACAATACTTTACGTATATTTTAAAATAATAATTTAAAACGTAATTAGTTTATGTATAAAATTCTTTTTCACTGGTTGGAACAAAGAAATTATTGTGATGTCTGAAATAATCATAATCAATATCAGATAATTAGTTGTATTAAAAAGTGATTAAAATTAGTTATAGTTGTATAATTTAATATAAATCTTACTATATTATAAAGTATTTGATAAAAACTTCTAAAAATTATTTTTAATACATGAAATATTGTTTATTGATGAATATTACTTAGGTTAAAATAATGTTTAAGTACAACTTATTAAAGATTTATGTTTGAATTCATGTAATTAACTACAGATAAACATAATTAAATACATGATAAAGTATTTTATTTTAAATATAAAAAATATAATATATATTCAGAATAATATATTTAACGGTATATGTATTTGCTTATAAAAATTAAAAATAAAAAGTAGATCTGTAGATGTTGTTTTGTAACAGAAGGCAACTTCAAAAAAGGAAGTCCAAGCAAACCATTTTCCCTCTTTTTCTTATTTATTTTTAATTATTTATAGCATATAATTTTAAGTTATTTTATATTACTAGAAAGGTATTCGTATAATGCAGTCTCGATTTTAATGTTTTGTATTTTTTTTGTCTCAGTCGATGTTATAATACGATTTTATATGGTTTTGAGAAAGCGATAACGTTTTTGTTTTTAAATATAAGGAGGAATAAAAATCTTCTTGTGGCCACGGAGGTTCAAATACGGTAACTTCGGGCTATCTCCAAAGCATATGGTCGACCTGAGATTAATCGGTTCACATAGCGGGTTGGATATACAGGTAATCAAAAAAAAAATGAAGATATCATAAAGAATTAAAAAGAAATATTGATATTAGTAATAAACTAACTATTTAATTATTTTTTTGGGTATTTCATTAATTATTTTTTGTTTAATAATATATCTTTTATAAAGATAATAATTAAGTATATTTTTTTAATTTTTTTATATTTAAAATGAGATGTTTATCTTCTTGATTATGTTTATCGACGGTTAGTTACACGAATTCAAAACATAAAGTTTTAATAAGTTGTACTTAGACACAATTTATTTGTGATCTTGAATTTTAAGTAATATGCATCAATAAACAATAATTCATGCATAAAAAATAATTTTTAAGGGTTTTTGTTAAATATTTTATAATATAGTATAGATTATCTATACTATATTATAAAGCATTTGGCTAAAACTCTTAAAAACTCTTAAAACTCTTAAACTCTTAAAAACAACCTTTTAAGCATATAGTACAACCTATTAAAGCCAAATTACTTAAAAACCACCTCTATTGCTAATAGTACAACCTATTAAAGCGACCCCTAAACCGTTCAAATCAAAACTCTATCATGTTTCATCGCCAACAGAAATCCCAATTTCTCTCCCTAGACGATTTCATCGCCCAGCAGATTTTGAAGAATACGGAATTCTCGGTTTAATCTCTACTTCAAACCATCAAGGTGAGTTCTCCATTAATCTCTACTTCTCTACTGGGTTATTTTTCTACTCCCAATTTCCTCTCCAAGAAATCGATTCCTGCTCCCAAAGCGTCGATTCCTTCTCCCAGGGCAACGATTTCTTCTCCAATTGCAGGAATTCACGCTCTTGAAACCACCAAGTTGAGTTCTCCATTAATCTCTACTTCTCTACTGTGTTCTTTTCCCACTCTCAATCAATCGCCCACTTGAATCGCTCCTCTTTTGGACAACTGATTAAAACCATTGTATTATTGTAATAGGTTTGAAACCTCTAAATCTATGGCTTTTGTTAGTTGATTTTGGTTTTTTTGCACAAATTTTCTTATGATTTTTGGTTTATGCTGTTAAAGAGGAAAACCAGTGCCAAGTTAAGGATTTTTCTTATGATTTTTGGTTTCTGCTTCCATTGATTAAACCCATTAGGGTTTTCTTCTCTTCCACTCTTGCTCAATCTTCTCCTTTAAAGTTGCTGATGATTTCTGGGTGAGTTTCAATTTTTTTGTSAAGTTTTGGTTTTGATTTATTTTTTGATACTGGTGATGATAATCTTAAGGCTTGTTTCTCGCAGACATTCGCAATGGCCGCCTAAGAGCTTTCGTCTTAGMCAGGCTTGAGAGCTAAAATGTTGCTTTGCTCCTATCTTGGATGTCTGAAGTTTATTTAGAAATTTGTTTTGATATTGGGTTMTCAGTGATGATTGCATAGACGATATATCCATTCTATTCATCATGAAGACGAATCAAGGCATTCAGGTAAGCCTTCATCTTTGTATGCTGACATTCAGGTAAGCTACTATCTCCATTTTTATCTTCGTTGAAGACATTCAGGTAAGCNCATTCAGGTAAGCCTTCATCTTTGTATGCTGACATTCAGGTAAGCTACTATCTCCATTTTTATCTTCGTTGAAGACATTCAGGTAAGCTTTCATTATAGATCACATTTCCCTATCCATTTCGGGTTTTTGGTTTTATTTGAATTTAGGTTAGATTGAATTTGGTTTTCCTATCCTTTCATYTATGGATTTCACATGTTTTGTTAATTCCTTTAGGSATCATTTATAGTGATTTGRAGAAGTATTTTAATGTAATCTACTAATGTATATACATCATAGAAAATAACTTGGTTTGTTCAAGATCTTCCAGCAAAATCTGCTCCAAACCCATGTCAGGGAGTCTGCTTCAAGGGTTTCAACCCTTTAAAAAAACAGCCTACTTCTTGTCTCCTTTCAAACAAATTATCTCCGTCACTAGAGCAAGAACCATTTTGGGGCTTTCATCACTCCATTACAGGTTTCTGAAATGGTGGCTGACAAGGGTAAGAAACCCGAGATTGGAGAGAAAATCGTGGAGGACAATACTGAGCAAATCATGAGCTTGTTATATCCATTGCAAAGTTGTCGGAGGTCCAAGATGAACTTGAAAAGGTACTTGTTGTTTTCTTGTGGCTTGTCAATTTTCATGTGGGTTTTCAAGAAATTCAAGTTTTGAAAAACATATGCAAAATTCTTGCTAAATACTTAAACATACATGGCAATTCGTCTTCAATTTTGTATGAGCATTTTCATAAATTTGACACTTTTGAACTTAATTTTGTGTTTTAGTTAATCAATTGACTCCACTATACTCCTGAGTTTTATATAATTGGGAGGATCCTTGATGCATAGGTTCCTGTTTTTGCTATTTGCTGAATCTTTCTTGGTTTACTTTATTGTTGATTGCCCTTTACATGCTATGCCATAAAAAATTATTATGGATTTGCTTGCTACCTCATTGGGCCAGAGTTCCTGGGTTGTTTGTGAATTTAATATAATGGGTTTGCTTACTGAAAAAGGATCTCAATTTGGGGGTTATGTTAGATTATAGGGTTATATATTGTCCCCTGCTGTGCAAAATTGGAAGCACATATTATGTTATCATAGGTTGGCGAAACCGGTGCTGAAGGAACAGTAAAAGTTGCCACAAAACGATTTTCATTCAACCATATGCATTGGTTCTTGTTCATTCAGCCATAGATTAAAGTGATTTGATTTCAAATAGKTGTTTACTTTTCAATTTTGATGCTCGGACCTGGAACAGATGTAATTTTGTATGCTGTTGGATTAT